AATGAATGCAGTCAGTTAAAAGTATATAGAATAACATAAAATCTACAAGAAATCCTTAAAAGCAGTTCGAAAGAATTCGCATTCATTTCCCTTCCTAAACTTCAGAAGTTACTTGAGTTTTTTTTAACTCCAATAAGAGAACACACGTCTACTACTAGTGGGTTAACTAGGCCCTTCCAAGCACCCGATGCCCCTGCACAGCTGTGCTTTTGACAAAGCGAATAGCATTCAAAATAGTATACATATTTATTAAACATTTTACACCCATAAACTCAAAATGTGTAGACTCTCTCAATGCCTATCTTTACGTTCAAACCCTTTAGAATTCCTGAAAAATGATTTTCCGCCAATAAGGCTATCACTTACCATTGAACTTATATAATAATATCCAGTTGACAACCCCAGAGTGTCAAAAGTAATATATATACACTTTTAACACATTATGTGTAGCCGCTCCCCCAGCCCGTCTCTACGCCCCACCCAATTCAACATCCTGCCGAGTGTTTTTCTCCCCATCATTTAGGCTATTACTTACCATCATAAATAGTACAATCTTATCCACTTGACATAATTAAGATTTGGTATAACTCCAAAATGGTATATAGGCCTAATATTACTATAATATAAACACTCTAAAGGCCGAATATACACTATAATAAGCAATAGGCTGAATATAATAGTCAGTCTGTATTTGGTTTAGTATAGGCCCTACTAGTCAACGACTAGTCAAATATACAATAGGCTTATATCGATAATTTCACAAGACTTAGTATTGAAAATATAACCGGCAGGATCTATTCAAACTGGTTCGTAATACACAAGATCTTTAAAGCGCGGTGTCGGAAATCTACCGGCCAAACCGACAGTTACTGACACTTTGACAACGCTCTGTGTACAATAAGTTGAAATAGTTCTTGAATATTTTGGTGTAAGGAGTAACACACTCAGTTTGCTTTAATCGCCATATCCATCAGTTAAACCTATTTTAAAACTTTAGCCTGTCAGAGACGTCATATTTGTCAGAGGATTATTGACACCTCCATCTATATAGGGTTGGACTATAGATATCTCCATAATATACTATATAATACTGTATTATTAAACATCTATGGGATTGGACTGTGTCATCAACCATGTATAGGCCCTACTGTATTTAAGCTTTAGAGGTTAGATTTCAGATACGCGTCGCTGATTTGGGTGTTTCATTAAATTTGCATTATTGTATAAATAGTAAATGAATTAAAAAGCTTTCTAATTCATGTTTCTTCTATATAATAATGGGTCCTAAACAATATCTTATTCATAAATTCGAATACTGAATTAAAATTATCAAATATATTGGCCCCATACTAGCACTACATCTCTCACTTGTCTTATAACGGTATAAACAGGACCGTAGCCAGACTTGATTGTTAGGGAGAGGGGATTGGGGGGGGGGGGGGGGGGGGGAAAAGGGATTTGGGGGGGGGGGGGGGGGGGGGGGGCCAA